ACATCCATGCCATCAAAGCCAGTGTCCATGTAGCTGGATGGTTTGATTTGGTTCTTGGGACAGAAGATCTGGAAGAACCCATGGATCATCTGCCAGGAGTCTGCTTAATTTGGAGTACCACATCTGCCTGGACAGGTCATGCAGATCACCAGCATGGCCTCCATCTTTATCCTGCAGAGCAGACCTGGAAGGAGTTTCAGGAGGAAAGGCATAGATCAGGGTGTTCTGATCCCATTCACAATTTCCACCAGAGGATCTCTGCACCTGGAGACAAAACATGTTTGTTTTTTTGTTGAACCTGAAGGCCAATAGATCCACATCTGGTGACCCCACCTGTGACACAGGTCCTGAAACAACTTCAGGTGAATGTCATAGCCTCTCCAACAGGCAGACAGACTCGTGCATTCCATGGCAACTTTCTGGGTATGAAAATATTTAGGAACTGTGAATGGGTTGGAGTAGAACCACTGGAGCTGTCCTGCCACAGGTATTGGGGCAAGGACCCCTTGCTGAAGATAACCTGTAAGAGCTACATGGAGTGCATTCTGTGTGGTGGCACAGATAAATTGGAAGGAGTAAACAAAAGAGGGGACAGAGAGTGGAGTTTTAGCTTGAAGCCCATAGAACACCCTTCCCAAGCAATCAAGATGCTTGTTGTCCAAATAACCACAAAGGCAACCAGGCGTCCCCCCACTTTCAAGAGTTAAAAAACATTTCCAAGGGCTTAGGGAAAGACTTGGGCTTGGTTTTGAAAGTTAAAGTCTGGGAATAATCAAAGGAACTCTTTGTGATCTCTGAAGACGGATGAATCCCCCTGTGTTGATCCCCAGTTTTTTTTCTGTCAGGACAGATGAATACAAAGACTGTAAGTAGAGGGTCTGCTTGAATAGAAATCAATCAGCTGTAGTTTGGCAAACTAGTGTTATTGCCAGAGCAGGTAGAAAAGTAGGGTCTACCTGACAGAGCGAGGTTTGAAAAAGGGAATCGCTTGCAATTGGGATCCTTGATATAAGGTGCATCCTCCACAGGGATGGTTAGGGCTTTGTTAAAGTGGAATACTGCCAGATCCATAGCAGGGCACCCAATTTATAACAAAAGTCTTCCATGAATGGGTATAGGACCGATACCCATTTGGGAGGGTTGAACACCTTTTGTCAGGGTTCTTCCAGTCTCCATAAAAGGACAATGAAAAATGTGTGTGCCAGAAAAAAGTTTTCATAGTCTTGGGGACTGTAATTGAGTCTAGTCTGGGAACAACACTGTTAGAAGCAGCAGATTGACTCTCAAGTCTGGTGGTCTCCAAGTCTGGGAGTAATGGCAGTCTGACTCCTTGGGTGTATGTTAAGAGCTTCTGATGGTGTCTGCTGGCAGAGTCAGCAACTGAAGTTGCAATTTGGATATGGGACTATTCCCCACTTGTATTGGATCAGACATGTTGCACCGCAGGTAGAAGCAACGTAGCTCAGTGGACTTTCACGAACCAGCTACTGGTAGCAGGAAAGATTAAGATGGCCAGATGGTGAGGGCATCAGAGAAAAATGGAGGCTAAATCAATGTGTCAATTGCAGTCAGGAGTAGCAGCGGGAAGGTGCTTCCTCTATACTGAACGGCCAGAAATGTGCAAGTAGCATGCGCGGCATTCCACTCAGTGGATTACCTAAACCGATGAAAAGCGTAACATTCAAATTGTCCCTGGTGACCCTAGTAACATGTTGTCTCTTGGTGCTCGACCCACACAGCACTACTTACAAAGGAAGTCTTCAGAGACAGGGCCATAGCTGAGGCTGTTCCATGCCTTTGGACCCATAATGCACTCAATACATTCAGGTCTGCAATGCAAAGCACAGACTGTAATCTGACCTTTGGGTACTGACCCCACAATTTTCCAGTCCAGTGGGGTCTGGGTACAGTCTTCAAAGTTAGTGCTACTGATTCATATAGAGACCAGCTTGGCAGCTTGCAAATCTTGACTGAACAAAACTAAATCTTAATCATAGAAAATGTTACACTTTCTCAGCAGAGCAGAGGAAATGTTTCCGTTTTCTCAGGTCATTAGTAAAAATGATTATTCTTTTGGCACTACGCGACCAAGCTGAGGCATGCTGGAGGCAGAAGGGATTATACTGGGCTGGCCACTGTTTTTGTTCTTTGTATACTACTGCTTAATTCCTCCTGTAGGCAGCAGTATAACCCAACAGTCTCTGAAATCCTGTGTTCCTCAATGAATTAGAAAGAAAAAAAAGGGACAATTCAGTTCAATGCACTTTTCCTGAAAACAGAAATGTAAAAAGGTACAGTTCATGGACATCGAGGGGGACAGGGCTGTGGGGGTGGCACACAGGCGCTTGAAGAGCAGCATCAACAATGAAATGTAATACACATGTCCAGTTTAGGGGGGGGGGGGGGGATAATAAAAGCCTGTTCAGCTTAAAAATATTATGCTTGAAGATTTGGGAATGTAAAAAGTGTCTATGGCTAAATCTGTAGAGATAATTGCTTTCTCCTGAGTGGGTACCCATCTCTGTAGTGAAAATTTATTACTTACATTTGACAATTTTCTTCAGAGATCTTTCCTGTGGGTCCTGCTTGGCACTACACAATCTGCCTTGCAAATTCTGCTCAGTTGACCAGTGTTCCTATGATGGCTTTACGCTCTGAACTCCATTTCCATGGACCGACTGGACAGGCGAGAGTAAATGACACTATGCTCACTTTGCTCCCATCACACTTTCTTACTTTATATTTCTAAATCCTTTGTACAGGAGGATCTTACCCATGTATTGGGAAAAATCATTTCAGCCATGGAAAAAGACCAGCAGAAAAATGTACATAATATGTTAGGTACAGTATATGCACTTTTCTTTAAGCTACAGTCTCCTCTTTACAGAAGGTTACAAAGCAGTTCTCTGCATCCTATAAACTATTTTGGTCACTGCAGAAAGTTTACTGGTTGCTGTAGCTAGCAGATGGAGATGTGGTAGTACATTAGATTATGCAGAGCCAACGTGACAGTTTCATGGAGTTCCCAAATATATTAGAAACACAACTGAGACCTTTGTTATTATATTTTGGAAGCAGGAATTAAACCAAGACCCTTTGTCTAGATGGCAGAACTTGCTGGGAAATGTATTTCATTTAACCTCTTGCACAGAACTTCCTCTTTCACAACTAACCTGATGGGCTGCTGGCCATTTTTATTCTCTCTGCAATGGCTACCTGGTGCCTATAAACAATAGAAGGCTAATTTTCTTCTTGGGCATGCCTCTTTAAAGGATACAGTAAGCTATTAATTTCCTAGTAAATGTAATGTTGTTCTCCTATAAAGAGGAACAAAAAACTCTCCTATCATTTACAGCCAAGGAAGCTGCCATCTTAGAGTTTGCTTAAAGTGGCACTAAACCATTCTCTCTTTTTTTTTAGCCAAGGAAGCTGCCAACTTATGCAGGCCATAGACGGTTCGTTTATCGGCCAATTTTTTGTCCGAAAGAATAATCGGCCGATTTTCGCACTGCTAGTGGGGCAATGGCATCAGCCGATTTTCGCGGTTCCTCCTCATTTCATTTATCGGTCATGCTGGAAAATTCATGAAAAATGGCTGATTTTCAAAATCATTGGTGGCAACATCAGTTTACAGAACGAACGATGTTTCATTTTTTCAGACGAAAAATCGGGCGATAAACGAACCGTCTATGGCCTGCGTTAGTCTGTTTGATCTGTAACTGCCATGGTGCTGTACATGTGATCAGTTATGACACCAGCCATTTGATGGGTTGACAGTTTGGTTGAGAGCATAAGCAAATGTGGCAGTTACAGTCTCAACACAAGCAGGGAATGTAACAGTTTTTGAAACAGTTTAAATTGGAACTAAACCCATCAATTTAACAAACGCCATCGAACAAACAGTTTCAAAACATTTGCTTGTGCTCTCAACCAAACTGTCAAATCATTAAATGGCTGTTGTCACAACTGCCCACATGTGCAGCACTCATGGCAGTTGCAGATAGAACACAGGCTAAGATGGCTGCAGATTAAAGCAGAACTAAACCTTCTGATCCTTTTCAGTTGCCATGGTACAAAGAGTAGTTAGCAAACCAATCATATTTAATCTTTTAATATTTTAAAGCAGTTAAAGCAAAATAAATATAAAATTTGAATTGGTTGCTGCTAGGACATGTAGTACATAACCTTTTTAGGCTGAACAAGCACTGACAAAAAGCTGTGACCCTTTTAAATTTTGAAGATTGTCTGTAGCAGTTAACTCCTTAATAATATGTCCCCAACATACCTGCTAGCTTAAAAGCGCTAGTGTGCCATCACCCTATAAAAACAAGTCCTTTCCAACATTTGCAGGACCACCATGACTTAGTCTCTAAGGTTGTACCCAGAATGACCAGTGTGCCCCAAATAAGAATGAAATCACCTGCCTTGAAATGACACACCTAAATGCTTAAAAGTAGTTTTTCACATACTGGATTACTTAAACGTCCATTTTTAACTTTACATTACATGGAAAAGACAAACATAATATATGTAAGAGGAGGTTAAACTCGCAAAGGAGTTTGAAGTGAGGACTGTGGTAAATACCCTATGTATTCCTATATAGAAGTAAAAAAAAAATAAAATTTTTAAACAAAAATAAAAAAATCTCTTAGCACAAAGATAGAAAGGACAGTGTGAAATATTGTGTGGTTTCCTTTCGCTAGTCCTTCCTGAGAGGCCTGTGCAGTCCTTTGGCCTATGGCATCAAGGGATGGAGTTAAGTCAAGCCGCTGAGGGCAAAATGCTGAAAATATACATTTCTAGATTCATAGATTTCCATTTATACATAAAATATTTGACACAATTCCCTTAGCAGACAACTGATGTCCAATTCATATAGCACTATGTCTTTCTGGAAGGGAAATGTGCAGTAATAAAAGTGTGCCAAAAAAAAAAAACAAAAAAAAAAAAAACCAAAACTGTAAACCGGTTCAACTCAATTGTTTTGAATTCCCGCAAAGCTATAGGCGAGTTGGCTCATCTTCACTATCACTGCAGTTACCACAACAGTCCTAGAAAAGAGAAAAAACACAGAACAAATATGGTGAAAGAGGCCATGCAACGAAATGCAAAGAGTACAATTAAATTAGCTAAGAGCAAAGCACAGGTTTGCTTCTGTTCTCTATATACTCCCCACATACACTTAACCTCTACTTCTCTGCAACTATGTTCAGTGACGGGAAAGGAAGGAAATACCCAGCCCTTTCAGATATGGGGGATCACGTGACAGCAGTGATCCAATCAGCATGGTCTCATTGGTAATCAGAAGCCCTGTCTTGGGTATGACTCAAATGATTCATATCTTACAGAGGGCTTTCCTTTTCTCCCAGTGGCTAAACCCAACAGTGGAGGAGGAAAAATAAAAAGTATGTATTGTAAGTGTTACTGAAGGTGCTGGAATTAAAATTAACCTGTTGGTTTACCCTGTGTATGTTCTATCTTGGGGTAAACGGCATTGTTCCCCAGCGGTTCAAAACATCCACTGGACCCCCTCCTTATTCTCCCCCTGGTGTAGTCTGGATGTACCAGATTGATAGCGGGAGATCGCTGCAGACACTGAAAAGCCGTTTCACTGGTCTGGGGATTTGAAATTGCAGCAGCTTTCTCTCCTCGAAGTACTGACAGTACGGGCTAGACGGCTTCTGATTGGTCAGCAACATGTGACGGGTGCTGACCAATTAGAATCCCTGTAGTCCATATGAGCTGAGCAATACACACAGGAGATTAAGCCACAGGGGTTTTAAATCCCTGGACTGGTGAAGCGGCTTTTTGATGTCTGACAGTGGGGGATCACGCCAATTTGGTACAGCGGGACCAGGGGGGATGGGGAGGGGGGTCTAGTGGATGGCTTGAAAAGCTGGAGGGAGAAAGCCGCTGGAGAGGTGGGGAACAAAGCTGTGGAAGAGGCAGGAGGAGACCAAACCGCAGTCCCTGATGTCTGCAGTCGGATTGGGAGCTGGAAATTTGGAACCCATCATGCAGGGAGGTTTCCTGCACTGCTCCTGTGTGAATTCAAATGCAAAGACACTATGACAAGTCTGGGTTCACACAGGAGCTGTGCGAGAAATTGCATGCGATACAGACAGGAATCGCTCCACATTCCTGGTCAAATTGTATGCAATTCTTTGCAGTGCGATTTGAGCTCCTTTATTTTATATGGGCTCCAGAAGCACCGCAAAGGTATTGGTACTTGGTATCGGTGAGTACTTGACCAAAAGTATCGGTGCTCACACTTGCCAGTAAAAAAAAAAAAAAAAAAAAAAAAAAAACAACGGGTATTAGTGCAACCCTAACTGTAACCACTTAAAAAGTGTTAGCTAGAGTTCAGCCTCAATTTGTAAGTCAAATCAATCTAAATCTGCTATTAGAACACTACCCTTTCCCCAAACTGACAATACGGCTGTCTACAGGGGTCTTCCATCCAAAGCAGAGACACCTTAAGGGCTAGTTGTGCATGTTTCCCCCACTGCATTCAAAACACACTGGATGTGTGATGTGCTGCAGGTGTTAATATAAAATTCTAATGACACCCCTGCACCAAATGGCATGGTACCTCAGTGCTGGTGCAGTGCACTTTTGAAAAGTAGTGCATGCACTTTTTGGTGCAATCCAGTGCGATTTCAGCCTATTCAAATGAATCAGCTGAAAATTGCACTGTACCGAGTTGCACAGGAACACGATTTGCATTCAGATGGGAAAAGGCTCAGGAAGTGTGTTACTGGCTAGATCCCCAGGTAAAAATTAAAAAAAAAAAAAAAAAAAAAAAAAGAAGAAATATAATGCATCCACCACAAAAATAAGCAGTGGGTAAAAGAACACTCACAGTAATAAGTTTTTTATGTATATTACAGGTTTTTATTTCTGGGTTTAATAATATACTTTATATACATCATATATATAATATAATGCATATATAATATATTATAGTATAAGAACTCATTAGTTATACATCTCAAAGTTACAATTCCATATCAGTACAGTAAAGGTGAGGTGATAACAGCTTGAAAAGCCATCACTTTTTTTTTTGGTTCTCCCCTCATGACTTTGGCGTTAGTAATGCATGTTATCTAGTGTTCTATGTATCCACTTTTTTACATTGTATCCACTTTTATACATTTACTAACAGATATTTTTGTCACAATGAGAAGTATTACTGTGTACATATGATATACAGTACCCAACACCTGTGGAAATCTAAAGCGATATTAAACCCAAAACTGTAATATATTGCAGCTTACCAATCATTATATGTGGAGGCCACATTCTATTTTCAGGGTTTTTTCCCCGTTTTAAACTTGGTAATCTGGCCAGTAACAGTTCTCCTGCGTTTGAATGCCCCCCACTTTGGATGAAGGAGCACAGGGGCATCTTTGGATAGCAGCATTGTCAGTTTGGAGGGAGGGAAGTGTTAGATGTACTAGCAGATTAAAATACACTAACAAAGTGAAGCCAAACTCCAGTAATACTTTATAAGCAGTTAGATTAGGTTCACATCTGAGCGGTTAAGGGAAGGCATGTAAAATCACACACCTTCACACACCCAAAGAAAAGCATGCAGCTGCTTAGGAGATGCGTGGGGGCACCATTATTCCTAATGGCACCCCCACGCACAGGAGACCAGTGACGATTTTTTAGAAGCAGCTTTTCACAGACTGGTAAACCTCTTCCCATCTTTACTCCTGAGACACTGACTCTCAAAGATACTCTCTTTTTACACCCAATCATGTTACTCACCTGTTGCCAATTAACCCAGTTAGTGGCAAAATGTTCTTCCAGCATTTCCTTGTTAGTATCACTTACTATGCCAGCTTTACCCTGTCCTGACTTGTTTGGGATGTGTTGCTACCATCAATTTCAAAATTACCTTATTTATTTTTTTATAAAAAGGGTAATTTTTTTCATCTTATACATTTGATATGGATTCTATTTTCTCTTGTGAATAAAATAGGTATTTATGAAATCTGCAAATCACTGCATTGTTTTTTTATGTAGATTTTACACAGTGTCCCAACTTTTTGGAATTGGGGTTGTAGTAAAGACAACCATAATAACTGTTATAATATAACAGTTGTATGCAATTGTATAATACTACAATAAAATACTTGAAACATCTCTGGCACCAGCTGTACAAATTCAGAAACATTGTCTTCCTAGATCCTGGAATTTATCCAGTTCTGTAAATAAGAGGCTGTTGCTATGATAATAAAAGTACTGGGTAACAGATTAAAAACTGAAAAAAATATCCATTTTCCTAAAGAACCAAACACTTGCATTGCATTCACACCAGTATAAATTCGAACATTCACTCTCCCATCACCTGTCTGCTGAACAGTCTCTGCAGCAGTCCTTTCTTGGGTTCTGGGGAAGGTAGACCTCTCCAGTCCAGGTCAGGTGGTATAGGTCCATCCATGGGCACTTCACTTAGTTCTTTGAAGCAGTCGGTCTCTATCATCTAAAAGAGAACACATGCAGCTGGTAGATTCAAGTTTCTGTCTAGTGTATAAACACATTTTTATTATTAAATCTTTCCTATTTTCAGTGACAGTGATAAATTGAAAGTGATTATCTGAATCTGTGATCAAAAATGCATTGATAGTAGATTGTAAGCTCTAAGGAGCAGGGCCCTCTGTTTCCTCTTGTACCAAATTGTATTGTAACTGTAATGTCTACCTTCATTTTGTAAAACGCTGCGTAAACTGTTGGCACTATATAAATCCTGTATAATAATACTAATACATGGTTTCCAAAAGCATAGTTCACACCAGTGCGTTCCAATAACAAAAAAGTAGAACATGCTGCATTTTTTTTTTTTGCACTGAACTGTACTGGAATGCAGTAAAACACATCAAAAAGGCACCAGAACGCACCTTATTTAAGTTGAAGAGAGAGGGGAAAAAAATTAACCGGAATGCATCAAAAACACGTATACATAAATGCATGCGGTCTGCATAGGCTTTTAGCAGAGTTCAGGAGCTGCCATGTTTAGGTGAGGTTAAACCTTCCTCTCCTGAATGCGGAAGAATCGCGTTCAGGATAGGAACGTTTTGACCGCTGACCACGGGAAACCTCAAAACGCGTCAAAATCACGGTACTGCGTTTTGCATTTTCCCGCGGATGGTGGTCAGTGTAGGCTCATGTACATGTAGCCTTAGTATACCTTTACTGACTTTTGCTACAAACCTACCTATGCATTAGTGTCCTCAGTATATTAACATTCAGTGCTGAGTTTGGAAAAGAAACCTTGCTTTTTCAGCTGCCTTTTTTTGCCCTCCTCTCTCTGTCCTGCAGATGGAAGGATGGAGAAAGATGGGCAATGAAATGGGCAACTGATAAAGTAAGCAAATTGCATATTAGTGTACCGAGGACATGGTAATGATTAGAGCGGTTTGTGGCAAAAAAGTGCCCCTGCTGCTACTACTGGTTATAAAAATGACATCCTCTAATTTCTTTGTATTACACATCAGAAGCAGCTGTCAAAATGCAGCCACTACCCCAGGGGTGGGCAAACTTTTTGACTTGAGGGCCGCAATGGGTTCATATATTGGACCCGGGGGCCGGACCAAGAGTAGATGAATGATGTGTATGTGTCATCCATAGTAAGTATAGTAATATTCCACCATAGTAAGCATAGTAATTAATCCCCCATATAGTAATTCATCCCCCATAGTAATTCATCCCCCCTATAGTAATTCATCCCCCCTATAGTAATTCATCCCCCCTATAGTAATTCATCCCCCATATAGTAATTCATCCCCCATATAGTAATTCATCCCCCATATAGTAATTCATCCCCCCTATAGTAATTCAATTTACTTACCTTTGCTCCGCGCGTTCCTCTCGCCGTGTTCCCGCGCCGTTCCGGTCTTCAGGGCGGACTGTGAGAGGAGCCTAGCTCCCCTCATGTTCGTCACGCTGCCCCGCCTACACACATCCTGACAGCCATCCTGACAGTATCACGCTCCGCGGGCCGGATTAAAAGGTCCGCCGGGCCGTAGTTTGCCCATTGCTGCACTACCCCCTATTCTTCTCTACATGACTGACGGTTTCTATCATACAACAAATACTTTTCCTTATCACTATTCTGACTATCTTTTTTCTCCATTCTTTCCCTGCTTTGGTCATATTTAGACCATCTGGAGCAGATTTCCAGTAATATGTTATAACCTTTCAATTAAAACGTAAGGCAAAACTTTTTTTAAAACTTTTGCACAGTGGAGAGTATTTAGAACACCTGTAAGCTTTTATTGCTGTCTGTGCCCCTGTTAAGAAGATTCCCCCTCTCGATTTGTCCGTTTTACCATTGAAAGTGAAAGTAAAAGAAAATCCCAAATTTTTGGGTTGTCCCCAGAAAAGTAAAAGAGGGGAAGATCTTGCAATGGGACACTAGTTCTGGTGACCTGGGGGTCCCCAAGGAATTCCCAAATTCCCTTAATTTGCAGGAATTTCCTTTCACTTCCTGTTTGCAGAGATTTCCCTTCACTTCCTGTCTCATATCCAATGGGACACTGATGGCAAAAAAAAAAAAAAAAATCTAGCAGGGGTTATAACCCTCCTTTACTCTATCCAAAATTAAAAAAACTATCAATAGATCGATTTCTCTGGGGCATGATCTGCCAGAAAATGGATTAAAATTCGGCCAAAACCTGCTGAGCTGGTTAAATTTCCATTTATGGCCAGCCTAAAGTGCAACTTCACCCTGAAGGGGAAGTTCCACTTGTTTGTTTTTTCCCCCCCTCCACTGCCACATTTGGCACTTTTTGTGGGGGAAGGGGGAGTGGGTACCTGGTTTTGACAAGTACCCACTCCCACTCCTGGCCAGATGTGCCGCAGTGATCTCAGCTGTAAGTTCGGCTGCCCCCTCCTTCCCCCGCAGTCTTCTGGGACACATCACAAGTCCCAGAAGACAGCAGGACCATTCACAAGTGCTTCGTGCATGCACAGTAGGCATCTGGCTGTGAAGGTTGACGATTTCCCTTACTTAAAATTCCAGCACCTGCACCCAAAGCCGATTGAAGAATTGGCTTGGGTGAGGACATCGCTAGATCCCTGGAAAATTATGTGCCCTTATATTAAAAGTCAGCAGCTGCAGTATTTGTAGCTGCTGACTTTTAATTGTTGTGGGGGAGCCCGAAGCGCCATTTTAAAATGTAAAATCAACTTGATGTAAATATTCCTATGAAGTTGTTAGTACAGCCTTAATTAATTCAATGTGTATGCTTATTACAAACCTTTAAAGGCTAATCTACAAATCTTGACGTTTAATACGATTATAAAAATACAAAATGACAAGTGTATAATGTGAAAGTTGTACACAAATTACATTTACATCACCACTACAATATTAACAAACTCTGAATATACCCTTTTCTTTTCCCTAAAGCTGGAAAAGGGAATTTAGTCTCTGGACTGGTAGCCTTATGGCAATCCTTCCATCACGATTGACCTAGACCTACCTCATTTTGCCACGGTATAGACACACAACCAGTAGCAAACTTTCTGTAAAAGTCGCTGTCGGTTTGCTCTAGCTCCACTCCTTTTACTGTTGAAAACTGTTCTATGTCCAGGACATCCTTGCAGTAAATTGCTTGAGGCTGAAACAGCAGGATAATGAGGTTACATAAAAGCGTATCACATAGCATCATGAAAAGTCTATTATTGATCATCCCATGACCAGCAGAAATCTCAAGTAAGCTTGGAAATGTCACCCTCCCTTGCTCACATCATTGACTTCTCTTTCTTTAAGTGCAGAAAATAAAACGTTATTCTTACATCTGGTTTAAATGGGGGTTCTAGCATTCCAGCTTCAAGTCTTTTAAAATTTATATGCCTGAACAATGGGTGTTCTTTTACTTCCTGTGCTCCTCCACCGCGACACCCTAATCGCTGATCAGGGTCTTTACATAGAAGCTGTGTAAGGGAAAAAAAAAAAAAAAAAAATTGAGAACTGAACACCAACATGACACCTATTCATACAGAAACAAAAATTATGGGTGCGTGGGAGGCTTCATTTGTACAGTACACGTATTTATCACTGCTATGCTTATGTGCCAATCAAAGCATATACTTCTGTGAGGAAAAAAATACTGTCTGCATCTGCAGTCACATAACACAGAATCACTACATATTGCTGACAGTAAGCCAAAGTAAACTCCAAAATACATAATGTTACTGTTCTTCTGACAGCAAGGCATGGGAAAAAATGTTACAGAATGCAAAGATTTTTTTTTTAGAGGGCTTTAAAGATCATTTGAAGCTGAACTCTGAGCAGATATATCCAATTTAGTACAGCTGTGAATCCCTCTAAAGTGTCTTTGCCTACCAGACAAAGTGATGTCACCCTCCAGGCTGTGTTGTCTGGCAGAGGTATATGAATCATGTATATAGCTGGTGAGACTTAATAAATCCTCTGGCAGGTAAAATACACATATCTGAATGGTCTTAACTGTAAATGTAACAGTTTGCCTGGAGTTTAGCTTTAATGAGGATGTGTGCTGTAGCAAATAACAAGGGATGTATACTTATCCTTCCACTATTCAAAAAGCTCCAGTATGTAAAGACCTACCATATGTTCACTTTTTTTGGTGAGCAGGAAATTATTTAACTGCATCTGTACCATTGTATGGGGGACGGTTCTTTAATGAGTTTAGAAATGGAGGTGGATAAAAGCACCATTGGGAGGCCATTCTGCCCATTAATCTTGGTGAAACAAGCAGCTTGGTCATAGAGACCAATCATGGTGATAATATGATGTAAACCATGTGTGTTTACATCTAAGAGCCCCTCCCTCCTTTTACAATGGAAGAAGGGGAGGAGACAGGAAGGAATGAATTAATGAATCATTCATTAGTTCCTGAGCACTGTATACATTGCAGCAGCCACACATTCAACATAAACATTTAACCTTTTCACCCCAAATCTTCTCCTACAGTAACAGAGGTAACTATCTGGTGAATGGAGGTAACTGATAAATTACTTTATCGGTGTACAAAAACATTAATATTGTGTCTGTCCTGTCTCACTGAAACTCCCCCCCCCCAAAAAAAATAAATAAATGTATGTATGTATGTATGTATGTATGTATGTACACACACACACACATAACATATACATACATACATACATACATACATACACACACACACACAGTGAAGGAAATAAGTATTTGATCCCCTGCTGATTTTGAATGTTTGCCCACTCACAAAGGAATGATCAGTCTAAAAGTCGAATGGTAGGTGTATTGTAACACTGAGAGACAGAATAGCAACAAAAAATTCATAAGAAATGCATGTCTAACAAATTATGCACTGATTTGCATGTTCATGAGGGAAATAAGTATTTGATCCCCTTCACAAAACATTAGTATTTGGTGGCAAATTCCTTGTTGGCAATCACAGGTCAGGAGTTTCCTTTAGTTGGCCACCAGATTTGCACACATCTCAGGAGGGATTTTGGCCCATTCCTCTTGGCAGATCCTTTCCAAGTCATTAAGGTTTGGTGGCTGACGTTTGGCAACTCGAACTTTCAGCTCCCTCCACAGATTTTCAATCAGATTAAGGTCTGGAGACTGGGTAGGCCACTCCACGACCTTAATGTGCTTCTTCTTGAGCCACTCCCTTGTTGCCTTGGCCGTGTGTTTTGGGTCATTGTCATGCTGGAACACCCATCCACGACCCATTTTCAATGCCCTGGCTGAGGGAAGAAGGTTCTCACCTAAGATTTGACAGTACATTGCCCCATCCATCGTCCCTTTGATGCGATGCAGTTGTCCTGTCCCCTTAGCAGAAAAAACATCCCCAAAGCAGAATGTTTCCACCACCATGTTTGACAGTTGGGATGGCGTTCTTGGGGTTATAGGCAGCATTCCTCTTCCTCCAAACGTGGCGAGTTGAGTTGATGCCAAAGAGCTCGATTTTGGCCTCATCTGACCACAACACTTTCAACCAGTCCTCTTCTGCATCATTCAGATGTTCAGTGGCAAATTTCAGACAGGCCTGGGCATGTGCTTTCTTGAGCAGAGGGACCTTGTGGGCACTGCAGGATCTCAATCCTTTGTCGACGTAGTGTGTTACCAATTGTTTTCCTGGTGACTGAGGTCCCAGCTGCCTGGAGATCATTGACAAGATCCTCACGTGTAGTTCTGGGGTGATTTCTCACTGTTCTCATGATCATTGACACTCCATGAGGCGAGATCTTGCATGGTGCACCAGACCTAGGGAGACTGACAGTTGTTTTGTGTTTCTTCCAGTTGCAAAGGCATGCACCAACTGTTGTCACCTTCTCACCAACATGCTTGGCGATAGTTTGGTAGCCCAGTCCAGCCTTGTGTAGGTCTACAATCTTGTCCCTGACCTCCTTGGACAGCTCTTTGGTCTTTGCCATGGTGGAAAGTTTGGAATCTGATTGTTTGATTGCTCCTGTGGACAGGTGTCTTTTATACAGGTAACAAAATGAGATTAGCAGCACTCCCTTTAAGAGACTGCTTCTAATCTCAACTTGTTACCTGTATGAAAGACATCTGCTAGCCAGAAATCCTGCTGAATGATAGGGGATCAAATGCTTATTTCCCTCATGAATATGCAAATCAGTACATAATTTGTTAGACATACAGTTCTTTTGAATTTTTTGTTGCCATTCTGTCTCTCAGTGTTACAATACACCTACCATCTGATTTTTAGAGTGATCATTTCTTTGTGAGTGGGCAAACATTCAAAATCAGCAGGGGATCAAATACTTACGTTTTTCCTTATATATATATATATATATATATATATATATTTTTTTATTATATAATAATATAAAATGCAGTCGCTCCTGAGTAAAAACTCTTGCACAGTCTTCAATCTAGAGATTCCCTCTTCCGGTTCCAACATGACTGCGTACCAGTGTGCAAAAGCAAGGTCTATAAAGACATGGATGAGCGAGTTTGGGTTGGAGGAACTTGACTAGCCTGCACAGAGTCTTGACCTCAACCCAACAGAACACCTTTGGGATTAGAATTAGAGTGGAAGAATGGTCAAACATTCCAATAAACACACTCCTAAACCTTGTGGACAGCCTTCCCAGAATAGTTTAAGCTGTTATAGCTGCAAAGGGTGGGCCAACTCAATTTTGAACCCTACCGACTAAGACCGTGCGTGTAAAGGCTGGCGTCCCAATACTTTTGGCAATTTAGTGTAGATGATCTATCATATCAGTCAGGAATTCAGATTTAAAAGAAAAATCTAGTCTTGCTAGTGTTGCTTTAGATATCAGGCTGGCCATACATGGATCAGTTTTTATCAATCAACTAGCATGCTGATCGAATTTAGCCTTTAAGGTAATATTTCACCCTTTCTACCGAAGTGAATAAAATACTTGACACACTTTACTCACCTTCCAGAGTTCCCCTCCTCATACTATCAATCAGAAGTGCCCTACCCTGTTCTGCAAAACAATCTCACTTTCACAATTGCAGACATAGCTAGCTGTTCTAGTAAGCACAAGTTTTACCTTTTTATAGCTAATTACCATATTTTAATGTTCAAGAATTCAAGAATATATTTTTATGCAGAGAACAGTTTTAAAAAAAAAACATGACTTCATAAAAAGCTCTGCCATCAGACCATTTCCTCTGAAAAACATGCATGACGAACTGCCAATTTACAATGAATGACCTACATCAATGGTTTCACAGCAGGCTATAAATATAAAAGTGTAAAAAAAAGAAGAAGAGAGGAAGTGGTGCACCTTCTACAACTGATGACAGAAATCTAGATCAGGTCATGGGTTACAAAATCTAATTGTCTTCCTATTTCTGTGGTAAGCAGAAGAAAAACCAAATAAATACCCATGTAAGCCGGAGCTTCCTGCCAGTGAATGTTGCAGACATTCACCACACCTACATCCTCCATACATCGCAAGTTAGATATGAAGGTTATGAGAACCTTTCTCAAGATAGACACCAACTACTACATGTGTCATAGTTGGCTAAACAAGTGGTAATATCACCCATAGCCAAAAGTCAGATTCCAGTAAACATTTTATAATGCTGCTTAGAAAATGAAAGCCAACAAAGGATTGGTTGCCATAAAGAACTTGTTTTTGTCAAGAATGGTTAGCATGCTAGAAAGACTTCAGCACCTTGCTGCTGCTTGAAAAGGAACAAATGGGTCTCTTGCCTAGATTCACATTAGCTCAATACTGTGCAAGAAGGATATGAAAAATTCTAATGTGTCCATTTCTAACAGGCACACATAAAAAATGTTCGCATTACACTTTGCATGGTTTTTGCAAGAAATTGCATCATATTTGTTATGTAGTTCAAATGTATGAGGGTCTATTTACACAGCTAACACACTAGGATGGGGATCTTTATTTTAAAATTGACAGTGAGTTCACAGTCCAATGAGATTTGAAAGTTATAGTCAGTGACTAAAATAAAGATCCTTATCCTTGTGCTAAAGCTTTGTGCATTGAGCCTACTGCTTTAAAAATATAACATATGCATCAATTTTTGTCATTCCCAACACCAATTAGAATTTGCGATCAGTGACTGTAGGTTCTGCCATTTCTCCATCATGTAAAGGCCAAAACAGAATGTGATTTTACTCACCATAGTACAGACAGCGTTAGCCTCTGGCGAAAATTTGGATGAATATTCTTCTTGGCCTTCCTTTACTAACCGCTCTACTTCCTCACGTTTGATCTTCCTCTTCCTCTGCTGGAAAGGGGACTGACCTGCTATCATCTCATACAGCAGACAGCCAAGCGCCCACCAGTCAGGGCTGAATGTGTACCGTTCATTCTTCACCACCTCAGGAGCTAAGAGACAAAGCATTGTTATAAACGCCATCTTAGCCAGTGCTTTTCCTGGTCACCTTCATACCTTTACTCACCCATGTATCCTACAGTGCCTACTCTGCCTTTAATAGTTTGACCTTCTGGGATGTGCACAGCCAACCCGAGATCTGAGATCCGGATGTGTCCTAAGGGAATAATAACAGTATGAAAAGCCAGGCAGGTAGACATGCATTTAGCAGACACCCACTCAAGTTTAAAAATATGCTTGCACTACATCATTGACCTTATGTATAAAAATAGTCTTTGCAGGAAGTTAAGAAAATGTTATGAATTGTTTTGTGACTTGAGGCAAAACTATGCACAGTATGTAAAAAAATAAAAAGTCACAACCTACAATAATGGGTGAAACAATTTATAATACTATAAAAGTTAAACATCCATAAATGTACTAGTTGCATTTAAGGTGACCATTAAGATATAAGAGCGGTTGGCTGTGCAGACATGATGCAACCTCTCTTAAACATGTCTGACCACTGGTGCTGTCATAAGCATAGATGCTAGGCTGATCATAAAGTCCATGGACACAATTCCAGCAGTACCCCCTCCAGGGAAATAGCAACTGGATGAGGTTTTCAACCTGTGAGAATACTTAATTGAAAATGTCTGCAGGTACCTAACAGATACAAGGCCTAACACGCCGCAAGTTTATTATTGACTACAATTTGTTAAAAGATCAATTCCATCCAAATCGTTTTCCTAAAGCCTGACTGTCATGCCAATCTCATAGCTTCAAAACGTTTGAAATCACACACCAAACACAAGTATGTAGATCAGGATTTTTGACCTCATGTACTGCATACGTATACTGGGTCTGAAAAGAGTAAAGCTACTTCACTGGCACAAGAACCAGTCAACTAGCAGTCACACAAGAAAGTCTGCAATAGCAGCCTATAGGCTTTGATTTAGTCCTGAGCAGTGGGTGTTTGGGGAGCACCTTTACCTACAGAGCAATGAGAATCTACCACTGAGTTTCCCCATTGCTCCTACACCTGACAAAATGCTGGAACACTCTGATGGTACTAACAAGTAGTGGTCCCTACTTGAGCCCTGAGGAAGTCACATGGTATTGTGACACAACGCGTCAGCCTGATGTAATGACGTACTTCCGGCGTGGATGCCATCTTGGCACACCTTTTCCTATAGCCATGCAGAATACACCCAAAAGCATGTGGTTTTGAAGCTGTCAGATACAGAAGATTTATGTGAGTGCATTTTTATTGTATTTGGATCTTTTTGATGAATAAAACATATTGCACTATGGTAGGGTATGGGTGCCAGTATCTCAAACAAAAACACAACCTATTTGGAGAGGAGCCACTACCTGAGTGCTGACCCCCTGAGAGAGAGAGATCTGTGTGCGGGGAGAGCAGACCAGTAGAGAGGCTGTATGCTAGAAAGATCTGGGGGTGTGAGCCCACAATATGCTTTGACCCTTACGGGTCGAAGTCTTGAGGTGAGAGGCTAATCTAGCTGTCGGTTGGATTTTCTTTACCAGCAGTTACCCCACTTATATCAGCACGAGTGTTGAATTGGAAGTAGTGGTATCATCCACTTATTGGACTTTGGAGCACAGATCAGACTTTTTAGTTTGATCCTATCAGTGTGTGGTTTGCACAGTATTTGCACATTTTGTCACATATTAATTTTTCCGTTTGATGCATGTATATTACACATTGAGTTTTTCATATATATTACACTAATTGATGGTATATATCCTCTGTTATATATTGTGGCACTAGTGTATTTTTTAGTGCGTTTTTTTTTTTACATTTAAATGCACTAGTCCTATGCATGGTTTTATACATTTTATATTTAGTTTGCAGTGGTATTGATGCATCACTTTCTTCACTGGATTATTATTCACCCTGCACGTTCAAGGTTAGCTGTAGAACACTATTATTTGATGTAGTGTATCTACGTGTCACATTGCATGGTGGTATATTTATATTGTTTTAAGGTATTTCACTTTTTGATTGTGGCACTCGTCGTGAATATTTATTTCACATAGTATGTTTATTGGTATATATTCACATAAGGGCACATTTTTTATATATAAATATATGGTAATATTTTATGGTAATATATAGGAGTAGAGCTACATTTATTGATTTATTGATTAATTACTCTGATGGTACTGACATTGCTTTCACAGACACGGACCGTAAGAGCAGAAGGAAGAGCAGAAGGAAGAAAGTTAGAAGACCACCAAGCAGGGTTTCAAACAGAAGTATGCACCTCAACATATTATTTCAGTCCAATCTACCGATTTCAATCAAGATCAATTTGTAGGTCTACCCGTCAAGCAGGTAATTGACAAATTGTATGCAAAACACAGTCACACTTCCTGTTCTTGTTTGTGGTTCTCTAGCAGCGTTATATTTGCATTTTTCAAACAATGTTTTCAGCACAGAACTTATTAACTACTTACTGAACAATCCCTTATAAGAAAGGTTGAGATGTGAATGCCGTTTAATTAATGGTTATGTCTAGTTTTTTTTTTTTTTTTTTTTGTGTGTAGAGAACGAAATGAAATTATTATTATTATACAGGATTTATATGGCTCCAACAGTTTGCTCAGCACTTTACAATATAAAAATGTAGTGAACATGAACAGCCATTACATTCTACATTAAAAAAAAAAAAAAAAACCATTGGCAAGGATGTATAAATATTTCATAATTCAGCTGCGAAAATATTTATCTTAGAAATGTTTTCTATATAAACAATTGTTAATATTACAGGGCAAACCTTTGAATGTTCACATTAAAATGAACATGTATAGTTTGGTTACTCACTATCAGTTCTATTATGCAACGATATTAGATATCCGTCAAAAAACTTAAGATAAATTACCCGTGTATGGCCAGCCTAGGATACTTTATGCTGCTTAATCAGGACATACACAAACATATTTTTCTTTGTACAAAGTTCTAATAATCTCAGCATTGAAATACATCACAACACCTGTAGCAAGCCTTTTCAACATCTTCCTATACCAGGTGATAATGTGTATAAATTGTGACCTGTTAAACCATAAAGCCTAGTACACACAATGAGAATAACAGATGAATGATCATCCATTTTTTCTTGCATGCTAGTCTCATATTGAAAATGAAGAGGTTACTAAAGTTACAAAAATTGTCGTAAGACAGAACACAACTTCAGAAGTGGTATATGGTATTGTAATGTATTCTTTCATTCCTGAGCATGTGCGGTCTTGGTCACTTAATTTTTTACGGCCGAATATTGTACCGATTAAATAAAAATCGTTCATTCTGGTATCCTACAAGAAAAAAATGTCATGTTTGTCCCTTCGGATATTTTTGCATTAACTGTTGTGACCCAACGGTCGGACGATCACTCCGAAAGCGGTATTTTTTCTCTGACATTCCCATTGTATGTACGAGACTTTAGGCTCAATGACAGATAATAATTTAGAATATTACATACCATGGTCATCCAGCAAAATATTTTCTGGTTTTAAATCCCTGTTGAAAGATAAAAAAGGTATTCAAGGTATACACATAAAAAATAATGGTGATTACTCTACTTAATCAAGACAAATCTCTAAAGCAGGCGTTCTTAACATAAGATATCCATAACTCTTGAGAGTATGGAAACAAAGTGATCAAAAGAGAAAAAAAAAAATCTAGGTTGTGTATTCGTGATTTGCCATTTTTATATAAATAAATATATAAATTGTTATTTTTCAGCTCTTCGGTTTCTACCGTTTAATATGCAAGTCAAAATTTGGCTTTGGACCTTTTTTATGCCATACTGGTACTTGCTAGGACTGATAATGATTTTTGCAGTATGGTGAAGTGGGCAGGTCGTAAAAAGGTTACTTTACATACCACAATGATTAAAACTGAACACAATGATTCATATGTTTTACAGTATTTTAATATATTTTCAATTATTTCCTTTTAGTTTGTGCAAGCTTATTTTGACTATACTGTACATACACAGGCAGATATACTTTATAGCTAGTATGATCATCCTATGATATACAGAGTCACAAAGCCAATCAAGCTTTCAGTAATGGTGCATAAATACAAATACATCACATTGAAGTTTCAGCAAAATAGGCAAGCCATAGATTATTTGATTTTCTTTCCTTCCACCATGGGTGGAAGAAAAGAAAATTGCTCGATTCCCCCATCAACACAGTCTGAGTTGATGGGGGAATCCCCCCCACAGAGCTATTGTGTTCTGCCAACAAGCAGCCTTCCCAGCTGGCAGCACACAATGGTTACTGCTATCTCCTATAGCCACCAGCAGCAATTGCATGTATAAAAAAAAAAAAAAAAAAAAAAAAATAAAAAAACACCGGACAGGCTGGTTGCACCCAAGACAATTGATGAATCGACTTGGGTATAACCAGGCTGCCCATTGATGGATAGAATAAGTGAAATTATTTGAAAGCAGTCAGATACTTTTCCCTCTTCATCATTTTCCAACATTTCCCAAAAATATAAGTAAGGAGCTATAAACATTATTGCTTTCAATGAGAAGATTCTCATCTTCTAAACACTGAGCCTCAAGAACACTTACATATATTTTTGTGAATTCTAGGTAGGAGAATGTGTTAAAAAGATCAATACAAATAATCAGTTTACCTATGAATAAATTAAAAAGACAATGCAAGATGGAAAAATCTCCAAAAAGGCATCAAATTACAGATTAGACATTCTTATATGTCAACAAAAGTTAGATTTTATTTCCATCATTTACACTTTTAAAATAACAGAAAACAAAAAAAAAAATGGCGTCTGCAAAAGTTTGGGCACCCTGCAGAGTTAATATCTTGTACTGCCCCCTTTGGCAAGTATCACAGCTTGTAAACGCTTTTTGTAGCCAGCCAAGAGTCTTTCAATTCTTGTTTGAGGTATCTTTGCCCATTCTTCCTTACAAAAGTCTTCCAGTTCTTTGAGATTTCTGGGCTGTCTATCACCATGGCAAAACCTTCAATTTATGCCTCTTGATGTAATCCCCCGTGGATTTCGAGGTGTGTTTAGGATCATTATCCATTTGTAGAAGCCATCCTCTCTTTAACTTCAGCTTTTTCACAGATGGCATCAAGTTACCATCCAAAATTTGCTGAAATTTTATTGAATCCATTTTTTCCTTCTACTCGTGAGATGTTCCCTGTGCCACTGGCTGCAACACAACCCCAAAGCACGATTGATCCAACCCCATGCTTAACAGTTGGACAGAGGTTCTTTTCATTAAATTCTGTGCCCCTTCTCCAAACGTACCTTTGCTCATTCTGGCCAAAAAGTTCAATTTTAATCTCATCAGTCCACAGAACTTATTTCCAAAATGCATCAGACTTGTCTGTATGTTCATTTGCAAAGTTCAAACGATGATTTTTGTGGTGAGGACGTAGAAGAGGTTTTCTTCTGATGACTCTTCCATGAAGACCATATTTGTACAAGTATCTCTTTATAGTGGAATAGTGTACCACAACTCCAGTGTCTGCCAGATCTTTCTGGAGGGATCGTGCAGTCAAACGTGGGTTTTGAATTGTTTTTCTCACAATCCTGCGAGCTGTTCTGTCCGATATTTTTCTTGGTCTTCCAGATCTTGCTTTAACTTTCACTGTTCCTGATGACTGCCATTTCTTAATTACATTCCGAACAGAGGATATTGACATCTGAAAACGCTTTGCTATCTTCTTATAGCCTTCTCCAGCTTTGTGAGCGTCAACTATTTTCAGTTTCAGTTTTCTAGACAACTGCTTAGAAGAACCCATGGTGCTGATTGTTGGGGCAAGGTCAGATGAGTCTGGGCATTTAAAACCTTTGAGCTTGACATCACTTGGTCTTCCCAGACGATGATTGAGAACAATCCATGACACTGGCAGGTCTCAGCTTTGCAAAGGGGGTGCATGCTATAAATTCTACAGGGTGCCCAAACTTTTGCAGACACCATTTTTTTTGTTTTCTATTATTTTGAAAGTGTAAATGATGTAAAATTTTTTTGTTGACATATTATAAGAATGTCTAATCTGTAATTTGATGCCTTTTGGAGATTTTTCCATCTTTCCTTGGCTTCTTTATGCACATTAATACAAATTTTTAGCTGGGGTGCCCAAACTTTCGATCCCCACTGTAATATATATATATATATATAAAAAATAATAATAATAAAATTAACTTTTTTGCAGGTAAAAAAAAAAGTGCATTTACTATTTTTTATTTATTTTTAAGGAGCCTGGAAAGAATTGCAACAGTGATCGGTAGATCGCTTCAGACTCCTGCAGACTGTCAGTGTGAGCTGTCAGCCTGTACATCGTATGGACAGGCAGTTTCGCACTGACAAGCAGAATCAATGAACTACCATAGTGCTCAACAGCACTATAGTAGTTAATTGAGAACTACATGCCAATAGTCACAAAGGCTGTTGGTACTTGTAGTCTTCCCATTCACAAAACTCTGATGTTGATGGGTGGGTGGAGCCCAGAACTGGCACATTTTTAAAAAAAAAAACTGATAGCTAGCAGGGGGAGAAGATCCCCTGCTAGCTGTTACAACAGGGGATCAGGGAGTGCAGGGGCCAGTGTTACAGAAACATGTTACATGTTACATGTTACACCCTGAATATGAGGTGAACTTATCCTTTAATCTAAAGTCTTGCAGAACCACAGCTGTGCAGATACATGAAAGGGCTCTCAACATGGAAAGTGAGGCTAGAGCTACACCAGTAAATAATGACTTCAGCACACCACAGAGCGTGTGTTATTGTGCGCATAACGCATGCTTCGGGGTGCATTTCAAAGCGTCATCTTGCATTGCAGCAATCCCCCCCCCCCCCAACTTCATTGTAATTCTTGTGTGCTGAATTGCAATGGATTACAGTGTGCAGGACTGTGCAGTTCATACTAGCTCAATACTTTTACTTTTGACACTGCGTGCCAAAGCAATCACAAGACAAGAGATACATGTTGGCTAAAAACTGAGCACACGAAGAATCAGGGCACGTAGCCTCTGATATGCAACCAGCACTTAGCTAGAGTACAATTGCTATAAAGTTCCCTAAGGCTGTCCTCCTGTCCTGCCAACAGTTCATGTTTTCTGGATATCCACAGTGGTAGCTAAGCTGCCTCCACAGCCATTAAAGTGTTACTAAACCCAGGACCCTGCATTCACTATATCTGGTCTCCCACACAGTACACAGAACATGAAATGGCAATTATTTTACAATTATTTTACAAAATATAAACTGCTAAATACCTTCTCTCATCAGTAGTTAGAGCAATCTTGTGACTTCTATCAGTGTCCAGCAGAGCACTGGTTACAGCTTGTAGGAGGAGTTTTCATTCTCCTGTAGGAGGATGCAGGACCCCTCACCTCTATTTGGACAGTGCTGTTTGGCCCTGTGCTGATCACATGCATGCACTCTCCCAAGAAAAACGAAAAAAACCTCTCTAGCAAAACACCAAACTGAGCATGTGCAGAGTGACTGCACACAAGATGTCTCATCAGGAGATAAGAGGGGAACATTGGAAGAAGGGGAGGATCAGAGAAGTCAGGATCAAACAGCGTGTTTACACAATGCAGAGAATTAACACCTTAGGTTCCACAGTGATTATAACAAGCATGCTTTCTGCATATACAGAATGATTTTACTGTTGTGGATTTAGTAACACTAAGTTAAGAGACAAGTTTATGAAACAGTCAGTACTTTTTCAGTACAGATTTCAAACAATTGCCATTATTTTTCAGAGATAGGGCTGCAAAGAGGGGTGTCAGGAATGGTCAAAATAATAATTTCCATATTTAGAGAGAAATATTTTGAAAGTCACACTTTGTTTTCCATCGCCAACTTATATTTAGCCTTTGCGTTACAAAAAATTAGACTTTGACCAACTGAAAACAAACCACCGCATAGTGACAAATGATCCCAGCTTCTGCACAAGAAGGTATGATCAGCAGAGCAAAATCTGAATATGAAAATATCACATACTATAAAAGATAGTGTATATGTGTATATATATATATATATATACTATATATATATATATATATATATATATATTAATATATATATATATTATTAAGGCTTACCAGAACCCTTTTGAAAGCAGATTAACCAAAAACAATATACATTTGCATGCCATACATAATGTGCAGTAGTACTGAATTTATTTTTCTTTGCTATCCAATATACAAATGAGCTTTAGTGCCAAATCAAACAACCAGAGTAATTTGTTGTTGGCATATCAGTCCTAGAGATAGAGATCAAGTAAGGGAACTATATGCATTTCAGCATCATAGCATCCCTAGAGATATATCCGATTGGTGCTGCAGATACTTGCTCAATGCACAATATTGTTTAGTGCAGCCTCTCAACCTTTTTAATAAAAAGGAACCATTGAAATAGCATTCTGGTCTCAGAGAACCCCTGCTAAAAATTACTTCATCTACATCTCACTGTTCATTAGTGTGATGGTCAAGAAGAAGAATGCTCCTTACATTTGTGGTCAGTGGGAATAATCTCCCTCTTACAGATAGCTAAAAAGATCAATGGTTTCAGTGGCAACTTATCAGAGGCAGAAATTGCTGTTTGCTCAAGGAGCCCCCAACAACCTCTGGAAGAACCCGAAGGTTCCATGGAACTCTAATTGAGAAAGGCTGGTCTAGTGGCTGAAGTAGAGTCACATCTCTACTGAAAGAAAGGTTGACGCATTGTATCTATTTTTTGTATGATTAGAGCTGCCATTAGTAACATGCAAACCCCACATACATATTGTATGCTTAATAATTTCTACATCTTAGGGACTGTTAGTGCCATGTAGACAGTAGGGGTTTCACCCAGAGGATTGTTATTTCTGTAAGTAAATACGGTAAATACAGGCAGCTGAGGGTGCCAACATTAAAGTGAAGCTGCTAATTAGCCCTCTACAAAGAACATGTTCACTTTGAATAGGCAACAAAGAGTTTTATGACAGCATTCAATGTTAGAGCAAGGAGATATAGCAATGTAAAGCTCTACCAACAGTTATTCAAGATCTTGTACCTGTAAAAGGAAAAGATATCCTAAACTATTGGTTGGTGCTTTCACTGTCCTTGCCATGCCATACAAAAGTGTCAAAAGGTAAAGTTGAGCTGTCAATGGAATTTAAAGTAGAACTAAAAGGCAAAACCTTTTTCCCCATTTTGGATAGAGAAAGGGAGAAAGGGAGGGTTATAACCCGTCAGGTTTTTTTTTTTGCCCATTTATGTCCCATTGGAGAAATTTCCCTTTACTTGCTGTCCCATTGCCAAAACAGGAAATGAAAGGAAATCCTGCATTCCTAGGGCAGCACAGTGGCTAAATGGTTAGCACTTCCGCCTGGCAGTACTAGGGTCGTTGGTTTGAATCCCAATCACGGCACCACCTGCCTGGAGTTTGCATGTTCTCTCTGTGCCTGTGTGGGTTTCCTCTCAGTACTCCGGTTTTCCTCCCACACTCCAAAGACATGCTGGTAGGTTAATTGGCTCCTGTCTAAATTGGCCCTAGTATGTGTATACATGAATGTGAGTTAAGGACCTTAGATTGTACGCTTCTTGAGGGTTAGGGACTGATGTAAATGTCTAAAATTGTCTCTAGTATGTGTATACATGAATGCAAGTTAGGGACCTTCGATTGTACGCTCATTGAGTGTTAGGGACTGATGTGAATGTACAATACATATATATGTAAAGCGCTGTGTAAATAGACGGCGCTATATAAGTACCTGGAATAAATAAATAAATATAAAATTCCTGGTTGTCGCCTCTATTTCAGTTCTGGCAACAATGTAGGATTTCACTTTACTTTCACTCTTGGTGATAACGATAAACTGGACAAATAGAGAAGGTGATTCATGATTCAACAATTAATATGTTTCATATAAAAGTCCTAAAACAAGAGGATACGTTTTTATTTGGTTGGCCAAACCATGCCGACTTCAGCCACAGACTTTCCATTGGCTGCAAGGCATGTTGTGATCGCGACATCTAAGAGAACATTGGTTTCAATGACAGCAGCATACTCTGAGCCACAGGCAAACCTCCAAGATTTACTGATCTTTACAGCATGGTTATAAAACTAGCCATTTGTTTTACCTGAACAAATATCTAAGTAGTAAACTGAATATTTTTGGTTCAGTAACATTCAGCGGGCAGTTAATGAACAGCATATAAACAGAGTGAATAATTATAATGAACATTGCATAAACAGAGTGAATAATTAGGATGTAGTAGATTAGCAAGGATCAGTTTTATAGCATAGATTTGGCAAAAATCAATGAATAAAAGTTGCCTGCAAGTTGTGCATGCATATGTATACATTTACACACATAAGTATATATACACACATACATATAAAATACATATATCTACCACACACGATACACATTTCTGCATACCTGTAAACTATTCTCTCTTGATGTAGATCTTGAAGGCCACAGCAAATTTCTGCAGCATAAAATATTGCTCGGTCTTCGTCAAATCCAGCCTCGCCCATGTGATAAATGTGAAACTTCAAATCACCTCCATTCATTAGTGTTAGCACCAGACAGAGAGCGTCTTTTGTCTCATAAGCATAAGCCAGACTAACCTGCAAGTAAAATATGCACCTCATATACATGGAATGATAAACCTTTACATTAATGTCAAAAGTTTATGGTATGCAATAATTTTAAGGAAAAAATACTTGAAGATGTATTTTTATGAAGACTGCGAGGATACATGGCCTCCACATTTAGACACCATCTTTCTATAGGCTGCAGTCAGCAAAAATCACAGGACCAGCTGCCAGCAGCTTCTGTGTAAATGCAGCTAGCAAACCGTGTTTGAAAGCCTATTCGATAAATATGTTTTGACTGTTGTTACAACACGTTTAGGGTACTTCTTTTTACAGGATATTCGGTTTGTCTGAACATATCAGTTAAAGCAATCCCACAAGTGAAAGTGAATATTTTTTTAAATATTCCAATTCAACTCTTTGTTAACCCTGATCAGTGAAGATTAACAACTCCTTTTCCTTAACATTTTAAATATTTTTCTATTTTTTTAACCATCAATATGTAACACGTATTCATTGTTTGCTTTTGTTGAAGATCAGAAGACAAAGGTTTGCCCCTTGATCATCTTCTGTACATATGACAGGGCTGAGGGCAAGGTAAAGTCGGTAAATCATTGGAGTGCATTTTTTTTTTTTTTAAAACAAGGTTGTTGCAGATCTCTACCTTCCAAGAGCAACATTGCTCAACTAAGCATCAACCTTAATAAGCCATCATGCAAAAATTCATCCATGCTGTCCCATTACAGCTATAAAAAGGTCCAAATCTTACAGTTCAACTTACAGCTCATCTATAAAAACCAAGGCGAGAGTCTTATTTTTTTATCAATATATTTTTTATTTGATTTTAGAAAAGTGAAGAGCATCTGTCCCTGAAAATGTTCATGATTCAAAATTGGTAAAAATTAATAACAAGCCTTCAACATGAAGGTAGAAGACATGGGATCTGCAGAGTTTACCACAAAACACTATACAATACATTTTAGAACCAGGACAGGTAAAATTTGGCTAGATTTTCTCTTTGGTAATTTCTTGTTGAGTGAATTATAATGAGCATCCGCTACTGAAGCAGGTCTATGGGCAAAAGTGATGCCTAAGCAAGGAAATATCTTTTGAAAACTCAGCTTAGTGTGTGGATCAGCCCTTAAGTCCAATATTAACAGTTCAGAAATGATTACGTTGTTTTAGGACAATGCACTAAAGCAGATCAGCATCTGATGCACATGGGAGAGGTATACAGTTGGATTTGTGAGAAGGAGAATGGCATCATCTGTGAAGAGGTTGATTTTGTGAGGTCTATGATGAAATACAAAGCCAAAGATCTTGTGGTGGGCACGAATAGCTTCCGCAAGGGATTCTATTAGTAGATTAAGAACAGAGGGGGACAGGGGGCATCCTTGGCAGATGCCATGAGGGTTCAGATATTATATTGGATGTTTAAATCTGAGCTGATGGGTGAGAGTACAGTGCTAGAATGGCTGAGAGAATGCTACCTTGGAGGCCAAACTTGGCGAGAACATGTACAGTGCTTTGAAAAAGTATTCATACCCCTTGAAAAATTTTCCACATTTTGTCATGTTACAACCAAAAAATGTAAATGTACTTTATTTGAATTTTATGTGACAGAGTAGACCAACACAAAGTGGCACATAATTGTGAAATGAAAGGAAAATGATAAATGGTTTTAAAATTTTTTTTACAAATACATATCTGAAAAGTGTGGCATGCATTTGTATTCAGCCCCCTTTTCTCTGATACCCCTAACTAAAATCTAGTGGAACCAATTGCCTTCACAAGTCACCTAATTAGTAAATACAATCCACATGTGTATAATTTAATCTCAGTATAAATACAGCTGTTCTGTGAAGCCCTCAGAGGATTGTTAGAGAATATCAGTGATCAAATAGCATCATGAAGGCCAAGGAACACACCAGACAGATCAGGGATAACGTTGTGAAGAAGTTTACAGCAGGGTTAAGTTATAAAAAAATTTCCCAAGCTTTGAACGTCTCATGGAGCACTGTTCAATCCATCATTCGAAAATGGAAAGATTATGGCACAACTGCAAACCTACGAAGACATGACCGTCCACCTAAACTGACAGGCAAGAGGCCCATGGTAACTCAGGGAAGCAGCTAAGAGGCCCATGGTAACTCTGGAGGAGCTACAGAGATCCACAGCTCAGGTGAGAATCTGTCCAAAGGACAATGATTAATTGTGCACTTCACAAATCTGGCCTTTATGGCGGACTGGCAAGAAGAAAGCCATTGCTGAAGGAAAGCCATAAGAAGTCCCATTTGCAGTTTGTGAGAAGCTATGTGGGGGACACAGCAAACATGTGGAAGAAGGTGTTCTGGTCAGATGAAACCAAAACTGACCTTTTTGGCCTAAAAGCAAATTGCTATGTGTGGTGGAAAACTAACACTGCACATCACCCTTAACACACCATCCCCACTGTGAAACTTACTGGTGGCAGTGTCATGTTGTGGGGATGCTTTTCTTCAGCAGGGACAGAGAAGCTGGTCAGAATTGATAGGAAGATGGGTGGAGCCAAATACAGGGCAATCTTAGAAGAAAACCTGTTAGGGTCTGCAAAAGACTTGAGACTGGGGTGGAGGTTCACCTTCCAGCAGGACAACGATCTTAAACATACAGCCAGAGCTACAATAGAATGGTTTAGATCAAAGCATATTCATGAGGTCCAGTCAAAGTCCAAACCTAAATCCAATTGAGAATCTTTGGAAAGACTTGAAAATTGCAGCTCACAGATGTTCTCCACATCCAATCTGACAGAGCTCAAAGTTATTTGGCAAAGAAGAATGGGCAAAAATGTCGCTCTTTAGATGTGCGAACCTGGTAGAGACATAACCAAAAAGACTTGCAGCTGTAATTGCAGCAAAAGCTGGTTCTACAAAGTATTGACTCTGGGGGGCTGAAAACAAATTCATGCCACACTTTTCAGATATTTGTAAAAAATTTGGAAAAACATTTTTCATTTTCCTTCCACTTCACAATTATGTGCCACTTTGTGTTGGTCTATCACATAAAATTCAAATAAAATAAATTTACGTTTTTGGTTGCAATATGACAAAATGTGGAAAATTTTAAGGGGTATGAATACTTTTTCAAGGCACTGTATGGCCAATGTATCCTTTTGAACACCTTCTCTACATCCACAGAGAAGCAGAGAATGCGTTCAAGCTCATTAAGGACTATCTTGGTCACATCAGATGTCTGCCTCCCTTTAGTGAACCCCATTTGGTCTGATTGGATAAAAGTGGATAGAATATCAAACAAACACTTCTAAAATTCAGCAAAGAAATTGTCCTGAAGTTTCTTTCCAGGTTTGGGTATGGTGATAATAAAATCTCAGCATCTCTGCGGGGAATGTAGCCATCTCTGCAGCAGCAGAGCAGAACACATTTAGATGGAGCGTTAGTAGTTTGCCCCATTTAGGTAGACTTCCCATTATGGAGGAAGTCTATAATGTTCATGATTTAAGCAAGTGTGAATGGTGCATTTAATTGGGCAAGTTCTTCGTCAGTTAGCACAGGAACTTGGCTATCTTCTTTGCAGAAGTTCGGGGTGGGCTCACAGTTTCCTGTGAATGAATGCCGACAAGTAGCGCCTGTCGCTGCCAGCTTGCAGTTCTCAATGGACTGCGAGGGCGCTGGGGATCACGTAGTCCATTGATTCTTCCTGCCATCAAGTAACTGGCTGCCCATATGAGGTAGCGGCAGACCACTTACCGAATGTCTGCAGGATCCTGGTTGCATCCACGATCTTCTGATAGTGGGTGCAATGCCTTACTGACAGTAATATAAAAAAAATTATATATGCGCATTTTGTTACTTGAAAAAAAATATGTGCATTTATTATTTTTTGTGAAAAGCTGAACTTATCCTTTAAGGGCACTTGAGGATTTATCATACTAATCACACAATAACTCCTGGCTCACGTCTGAGTTTCAGCAAGGAAGAGGGTAGGGTGGAATTTAAATTAATCTGATTTTTTTTTACTCTAAATCATGAATATCGGAAAGAAGAGAGAAGTTTCTGTTTAGATGGTCTCTTGGCTCTTCCACAAATTTTCAGAATTATACCTCTGATATATGCCTTATGGGCGTTCCATAGCAGAACGCCCATAAGATGCTGAGAGAGTGATGAGCTATTACTTTGAATCTTCACAACACTGGAATTGCCTCGCCATAGGTAAACAGGGGAGCAGGTATTATCCTCCTGCATGGTCCCATCAAGTGATGTCATAAATGGTGGGAGGATGATATCCACTGAAGGAGCCATTTATCAACAACAAACATGTATATATGGAGTAAGAGTTGTGCCTGGACAAGAAGAATGTAAAGTCATTCTCAGTAGTATGGTGGCAGCACCAAACATTGTAGACATATGCGAGAAAAAAAGGATTGAAGCATGGGAGCTAGTCTCCTGCTTTGCAAAGAAAAGTCCATTTGCTGTGGTCTGCAATGAGATTAAAGCCTCCACATAAGATGAGACTCCCATTTCTGGTAAGTTTACAGAGAAAGTGAAGTTGATGTGAGTTAGGGCAAAAACCATCTCAGGTTTGGCAATAATTTCACAAAGAAGTATTATAAATCTGCCTCCAGGATCCAAAATAGAGTCCAGTAGGGTGAAGGAGATTGAATTCTTGACAGCAATGAAGACCCCTTTTTTTTTTCTGAGTGTCACAAGCCATAAAGATGTGTGGAAAATCTTTATGGGTGCATTTAGGGCGTTGCATTAAGTTGAAAAGGAGTCTTCTGAATGCAGAGGACATCAGCCTGGAGGTTGTGAACTTCTTGCCATAAAAGTAGAATATCTCTTAAGCTGGGTGGTTTAGGCCATCCACATTTAGAGAAAATTTTAAATCTGATAAGCGAGTTAATGAAGGACGATACGCACGTGCCTACAGAGGGTATCAAGCCATATATCATAGAGATAATGTACTTCATTGTGGCGGAGGTTCCCTAAATAGATCCGAGGGTGTCCATCGATGCAGTCAGGAGAACAGAGCAGATCCCAGAAATGAAATCGAAAAAGAAAAAAAAAAAAAAAAAATGAATAACCAGAAACGGAAAGAACTAAAACATGTACATGGTAAAACAGGATCAGGGTTCAACTGGTGTGGTTAAATAAAAAACAAGGATGGAAGGAACCACTGCTTGTATTCAATTGTGAACTCATGTAAATATGCAGGTTGGACAAACTCAGGAATCCAGGGGTTCTTAAGGTTGTTCCAACAAGATCTGTCCTTAATATCTGCCACCTTGGACTTGAGCCACAACAGGTCCTGATCTTTCCGGTATACGCATCTACCAGTGTATTAAACGAGGAAGCAAATTCGCCCCGTTTTTTGTTTTAAGTGATCAACACAGTCTCACGGATTCTGTACCTCTGATTCAAACTCCTGCATGCATGTCATCATGTCTGCACGGAGTGAGGCTATCAGTGACAGTGGCAAGTCTTTTAATGTGGCATCAGAGACAGGTTAACAGTGGGAAAAGTAGAGATAGGATTGGTGGCTCTGGTATCCTCAGCAGGACTAGGGCATGCTTGTCCCCCAGCAGGCAACCCCTCTATATCTATGGCTGGTTCAATTCTTGGTCTGGACTTAGCCTGGCTCCTAGTGGAGGGAGTAGAGGCACCTGAAGAAGAGGATGAGTGCTGCAAGTTGTAAGAGCTGGAAGGCTTCCCACCCGATGCTGTGCGATCTCGCTGAAGAGCTGCTGGTAGCTTGTGATGAGCCATGTCTGTGTAGCTCTCGGGAGGATGGGGAGAAAGTTTCTGTGGCTGAGGGGTCTCTCTGCATTTGCAGGGAATACAGCTGGGATTCCAGGCAGGAGAGGAGCAAGGAGGAACGTTCTACTAGCATGTGGAAGCTTCAGATATGACGCTGTGGCCAGGGGTGGAGTGAAGCTCAGTAAACAGGCGGCCATTCAGCAACTCAGTAGTCTCATTTTAGGCACTACATTTTGAAAGTAGCAAGATACCAGTCTCTACTTTATCTCACAGCCACCAATTCCCAAATTTACACACTGTGGGAATAATTACATTTTTTTTTTTTCGGATACACTCTTTTCATCCTAAAGTAAAGAGCCTGCACATGACCAAACTTTTGTAAGATATATTTACAGTTGTGTTCAAAATAATAGCAGTGTGTTGAAAAAAGTGAATAAAGCTCAAAATCCTTCTAATAGCTTTTATTTCCATACACACAAATGCATTGGGAACACTACACATTCTATTCCAAATCAAAACATGAAGAAAAATATATCAAATTTGCGTTGTTCCTCTAAAAAAAAAAAAATTGAAGAAAAGTGAATATTAGACTGGTCAAAAAAATAGCAGTGTTTGTATTCTTCTTTACAAACTCCAACATTCACTATATAAACTGAAAAATGTTTGAAGATTTTGCTTTCCTTTGAATCACTTAATATTTAGTTGTATAAGCACTGTTTCTGAGAACTGCTGTACATCTGTGTTGCATGGAGTCAACCAACTTCTGGCACCTGTGAACAGGTATTCCAGCCCAGGATGATTGGACTACATTCCACAGTTCTACTCTATTTCTTGGTTTTGCCTCAGAAACTGCCTTTTTAATGTCACCCCACAAGTTTTCTATTGGATTAAGATCCGGGGATTGGGCTGCCCACTCCATAACGTCTATTTTGTTGGTCTGGAACCAAGACGTTGCACGTTTACTGGTGTGTTTGGGGTCGTTGTCTTGTTGGAACACCCATTTCAAGGGCATTTCCTCTTCAGCATAAAGCAGCATGACCTCTTCAAGTATTCTGATGTATTCAAACTGATCCATGATCCCTGGTATGCGATAAATAGGCCCAACACTGTAGTATGAGAAACATCCCCATATCATGATGCTTGCACAACCATGCTTCACTGTCTTCACAGTGTACTGTGGCTTGAATTCAGTGTTTGGGGGTCGTCTGACAAACTGTCTCCGGCCACTAGACTCAAAAAGAACAATCTTACTTTCATCAGTCCACAAAATGTTGCGCCATATCTCTTTAGGCCAGTCAGTGTGCTCTTGGGCAAATTGTAACCTCTTCAGCACGTCTTTTTTACAACAGTGGGACTTTGTGGGGGCTTCCTGCAGATAGCTTGGCTTCACATAGGCGTCTTCTAATTGTAACAGTACTCACAGGTAACTTTACAGCTTCTTTGATCTTCCTGGAGCTGATTGTTGGCTGAGTCCTTGCCATTTTGGCTATTCTTCTATCCATTCGAATGGTAGTTTTTCGCTTTCTTCCACGTCTTTCAGGTTTTGGTTTCCATTTTAAAGCATTTGCGATCATTTTAGCTGAGCAGCCTATCATTTTCTGCACTTCTTTATAGGTTTTCCCCTCTCTAATCAACTTTTTAATCAAGGTACGCTGTTCTTCTGAACAATGTCTGGAACGACCCATTTTCCCTCAGAATTTCAGAGAGAAATGCACTGTAACCAGCATGTACAACATTTGCTGCCTTCCTTCCTTAAATAAGGGCAATAATTGCCACCTGTTTTTCAAAGAATGAATGACCTCACTAATAGAACACTCCACACTGCTATTATTTTGAACATGCCCCTTTCAATTAGTGATTCAATTACACAGAATCAGCAGCATGCATGTCATGACTGTTGGGTCTGTTGGATTTCTATTACTCTACTACACCTGCTAGTAAATTATTTGTCATGTAGAAATATCATTTCTACCAAAAACAGTGATTGATCAGGTTAGTGATGTCTGACTGCTATTATTTTGAACACAACTGTACATCCAGCATTTACTGCATGTCAGACAAACTCATGGGCTGTAAATACATGGAACCAGCTTGGAAGGCTAAAATATAACCAGCCATCTGGTACAATGATTTTTACTTCATAAAATATTATACATGGTTGTGCTCAAAAAGATTTTCTTGTGCAACCATTTGGGGCTAAATCAAGCATGTACAATCCAAAGTACATTTAGTCTTTGGATTGGTATTTGCAGACAGGGTGGTCTTTAGACTCTTTCAAGTTGAATATAAATTCAATTCATAAAAATGTAAAGACTACCCCTGTCTGCAAAGGCAAAGACAAATATTACATTTTTCTTTAGTTTTCCCTTAATACACACAGATGCAGATAATTTCTATGTAATGCATGCCCCCTCCCTGCTTTATCAGCAACCCCTGGACCTACAGATGGATCTGTACTTACTACAAACCTGCTGTTGACTCTCTCTAAGATCTGTTTCTCATTTAAGGCCATGGATTCCCCTTTCCGTTTCTTAATACGTTTCTTCTCAAGTTTCTTGCATGCATACATCTTGCCTGTTGCTCGTACTTGGCAGGCACACACCTAGATACAGTAATTCAATAAAGATTAGAATGTCAGTTTAAATCTAGCCAGTGCCACAAGCTACTCAAACATTGCTGTTTACTAAAGGTTTCCCTTTGCCCGTCTGTGCAGATGATACTTCAGAAACTGCTTATCTCAAAAGAGCAACTGGCGATACGCTGACAGAAATAGAAAAAAAAAATAAAACAAAACAAAAAAAAAAACAAACAAAAACACACAATGTATCCAACAGTCTTTTCAAAGTATTTGAAAAATGTTTGACAGGTGTTTGGGGTCATCAAGAAACATCATGTTTGGCAACCAGTTTACTGTCCAGGTTCGAGTTTCTGGCTAACAGCTAGTGTCACCCTTACAGTGGTGCCGAGGGTATCACAGGTATTTTAAAGAATAAGAATAATAATTCTATAGTACTTTTCTCCCCACGATCTTCCCAACAGTCGCAGGCAGGTGTCGGGTAGATAGCATCCCCTCTGACGACATATGCAGAGCTACGCAGGAAAGCGTTCGTGATACCAGCACGGTTGTGGCTCACTTTCCCCGCTGGCCTCTTCCTCTTCTCCTATTCATCTCAGCTGACTGTATGTGATATCACTTGGGATGGACAGGAGGGTCCAATGGGGGAACAACGCGCCACATGAGGCCTGATCACAGCTGCGTCCCTTTGTTGCTCTGCATATGTAGTAAATCAGTAAAGTGCCCTGCTCCCATCACAATGTAATGTGCCCTGCTGTGTGCCCCATGTAATATTACTTGCTGTGTGCCCAATAATGTGCCTTGTTCATATGTACTGTGCCCTGCTCCCACGTACTGTGCCCTGCTCCCACGTACTGTGCCCTACTGCCTAGTTTGGGAAAATTCCATACATTGAGCCACCAAAAAACCAAAGAAACATTATGGTAAGTAAGGCAAGTATACTTTTATCAGTTGCACAATCACTTGTTTATTTTTCACTATAGGGTGCACTTTCTTTTGCACATGTTGGCTGATGATATACCATTTTTTTCCTTCACACAATTTTAGCTAATTTTAATGGGAAGCTTTTTCCTCCTATCATAATTTTTTGGAATTTACCTCCAATTCATTTTTTTTTTCTTTGCTGCTTTCTTGGCAATTCATTATTGACACGATACAAGGCCTGATATCATTTTCAGTGCTGTGTCCACACTATTTGAAGGCTTTGCTCACATTAGAGCAAATATCTAATGTGGATCATGGAAGGAGTGAACCGTAATGCTGTTGAATGAAAAAACTGCTAATTTGTGATATTTTGACTATTGTTATATTATTCACATTGTGAATAGTGATATTGCGACACTGAGGACTACCATTGTTATTTAGAAATTGCTTTCCTTGCATATAGGCTTGCATCTTATCTGGCCTGAATGTCTCTGTATAGAAGAACGATTATGTGGGTACACCCGTTGATGGGATCTAAATCTTGATGGCATTCTCCAGCTTCCCTCGCTACACACATGCAATAAATGCAACATCAAATCTCTCTGTGTTGAAAAAGATGTATGGGAATTTTTTTTTAAATTATACTTACCTAGGTGGATGCAGCATTGATCTGATGCTGCATCTGTCCACTGCTGGTTCTAAGGGTTAGAGCAATCAGTTCTCCCTGCCTGCTCTCTGAGCTGAGAGCCAGGACTGTTAGTCTCTGGCTCTCTGCTCCGCCACAGAGCACTCACTGGTGCACTGGGCTTTGGAGTGGGAGGGAGTGGCTGGCTCAGGCTCGCAGCAGGCTGAGCCAGGTGCCAGTCCAGGCTCCTGGATGGATTCTGACCATATAGGGATCTTTTCCATTGTCGGCTGAAAACAGGTTACAGGAGTGCAGAACGAACTGCACTCCTGTGATCCACGGGAGAAATACAGCCAAATGAGCTTTGCTATACTTCTTTATATGAAAGACAATGGGGTAGATGCACGAAAGGAATAGAATGTGCCTACTTTGCAAAATTAATTTTCACTTTGGTTAGTGAATAAGGCAAAGCTGTGCTGATGTCATTCATCCAGTTATGTGCAAGCAAAAATCTATAAGAAAATAGAACTGTTCTGGCTTTTTTTTTTAGATGTTTTTTGGAAAAGCCTAATCTGGCTTTTCTATTCCTCAGGCTTATAAATGGTTTGCACGTTGCGATGAACCCTCTGAATTTGCTCTCTTGAAGTCTTCTCTTGATTGTAGACTTTGACAATGATATGCCCACCTCCTGTAGAGTGTCCTTCACTTGTCTGGATGTTGTGAATGGGTTTGTCTTTACCATAGAGAGGATCCTACGATCATCCACCACTGTTGTCTTCTGTGGACATCCATGCCTTTTTATGTTGCTGAGCTCACCAATGCGTTTTTCTTTCCTCAGAATGTACCAAACTGTTGATTTGGCCACTCCTAATGTTGTTGCTATCTCTCTGATGGATTTGTTTAGTTTTTGAAGCCTTACAATGGCTTGATTCACTTGCATGGACAGCTCATTTGAACACATGATGTAGGTTCACAGCAATAGATTCCAAATGCAAATACCACACTTAGAATCAACTCCAGACCTTTTAGCTGCTTAATTAATGAAGAAATAACAAAGGAGTAGCCCACACCTGGCCATGAAACAGCTTTTGATTCAATTGTCCAATTAGTTTTGGTCCCTTGAAAAAGGGGGGATTGGCTACTCTTAAGAGCTGTAATTCTTAAATCCTTCCTCCAATTTCGATGTACATACCCTCAAATTAGACCTGAGAGTGTGAACTTTCAGCCCATATCCATTATAGAACTATAGCTTGAATAGGTTTTGGTAAATACCTAAAAAAAAAAAAAAAAATTGTGCCTTTGTCCAAATAAATATGGACCTAACTGTATGAGGACAACAGCTTCATGATGTGTGTGGGTTTCCTTGGGTGCTCAATTCCTCCCACTACTTCAACACATACTGATACTGGCCTCACACTTTAGTCAAGTGTGTGTTTGTGACTGTGACCGACATAACAGATTGCAACTTCCACTGGGGCAGGGACCAGTGTTAATGGTCTATGTGCTCTTTCCATTTTGAACACCCAAGTTAAAATGCACATTATTTTTAACAAAGAAAAATACTCTTAAAACCCCTAAAACATTACAAATTTTCTGAAAGCAGACAGAACATAATGGTAGTTGCACATTTTTAGGTTACATAATGTTTGAGCACCTGTTTGTCAAAATTTGTCATAATTTTAGTGTATGCACACACAACAAAATCTCAACAATTTTGTGTAAGTTGGGACTGAGTTGTATAAATAAATCCCAAATATGTAAATACTTAAAGTGTAACTCCACTTTTGTTAAGAGAAAAAAAAGCATTTTCTTCAGGGCGATCAATGTACATTGCAAGAACTTTATCAAACTTTGTTGCAGATTCCTAGCTTTTGTTATTCTGAAGAAATAGCTGTTTGTCTGTCTCCTGTGCAAAACAATTGTGAATGGGAGTGACTTTATAATTATCAAAAAGGTGTTGCACTTGTATGGTTCTAATGAGGAAAGTGACAGGGCCTGAATCCTTTTAGATGTGATTTCCCTTTGGGAATATCTCAGTAAAAACGACATTTTTGTTGCAGAGGGTGCCCAAAACGTGACTTAGTGCAAACTTCTGGAAAAATCAATGAGCCAATCAGACAAGCAGGAAACTACATTTCTAGGGGGCATTCCGTACACCATCTGTGTACAGAACGTCCCCAGGCTGCCATATTGCATTTTGCATATAATTAAAGTGCTGCTCGATTGAAAAGGAAAGGTAATTTTAACAACATTCAATTACAATATGAATATGTAAAATAGTATATGCCATAATATTTTTTTGTTATTTGATTTTTTTTCTTCCCACAGAAGTGGGACTCCCTCAAGAGTTTGTTCTGGCCAGGTCAGTAGATTGCTTTAAAAAAGGCCTGGATTGTTTTAGATACACAGAATATAACTGGATACTAACATTTATTAGCTAAGATTGATCCAGGCAACATCTGATCTCCTCTCGGGAGGATCAGGAAGAAATGTTTTTTCTCCTGCAGGAGCAAATTGGATCATGCTTTGCTGGGTTTTTTTTTGCCTGCCTCTGGATCAACTGTGGGTATAGGATTATAACTTTTTTCTTTTTATGGTTTAACTGGATGGTCTTTTGTCTTTTTTTCAACCAACTAACTATGTAACTATGTAAGTGGAGTTACCCTTTAAAGTTGCTTGTGTCTGTGACAAACTGAGGCACTCACAAATTGTCCATAGGCAATGCTTTAATGCTAAAAACCTTTACAGCTCATAAATTTAGTTAACTGTACATAACAGCCTAGACTTACTATTCTAATTTCAGCGTGCCTAGTGATATCCAGCATGTGTCACATGTTAGGAATTCATGGTTTATGTACATGTGTGCTCTGTTACACAAATTACTGTGTGTAAGTGTGTGTGTGCGATAGTGTGGGGCTTTCAATTTTTATTTTATATTTTAATTTTTACACTTTTGTTAACTGAACTTTATTGCCATCACAAAAGGCTGACAAGCTCCCATGCAACAGAACTTTTTGAGTGAAAAGTACACTTCATAAAGATCCCAGGGGTCTTTTAATCCCCCTAATGCCTCCCTTAAAAATTAGATGTAGCCTATCAAGGATACAGAATCCTCAAGCACACTGCTTCACCTGCCTCTCCTGGGAACTGCTTGGGACTCAGAAGTGCTCAGAGCTTAGCATCTCTGGGTTTATACTTACTATGAGAGATGGAGTAAAAAAACGTTCCGCCATCTCTCCCTACTTGAAATCCTGATCAGTTTTAATATAACCCCTGTTTAACATAACCCTAAAATCTAAGTTTCAGTATGTTTGGCTTCATAGTTCATTGAATACTGTTTTCTTAGAGCTGAATTCCAGGCACAAATAAATAATTTAAATATAATTAATTAATGGTCGCAAAGGATATAAATCCACTTTGCATGCACCAAACACCTTTAGTAACAAAGGCATAAGTGACATCATCATGGTGCTATAAA